TTCCCTCCCCGAAGAGCTGGACACAAATTACTTTTTATAGCAGCCCTTGGCTTTTCATTTAGCCAGGAGGGAAGTATGAGGTAGCACGGTTCCACACCCTTTTACCTGGATGACGTCTCTCTATGTCATTTAAACAGATGCTACTTAGAATAAGGAGGTGGGTTATTTACTCTCTGTTCTCATCACCCGAACTAAAGCAAGCAAGCAAACAAGCCAAGCAAAAGAGCAATCTTAGAAGTCATTTTTCAAAATGCCTAGACCTCTTCTGGCTTGTTCTTCCGTTGAATTCCAAGCATTATTTGTCTAGGTTCCCTTGCCTGAACTGTTGGCACAGAAGGTGCAATTTTATCCTTGAAGCAGGGTGTTCCTCAGGCACTGAGCCAATGCAGTTGGCTCATGCATTTCCTTCCCTACTAAGTTTCTTCAGGGCTTTCTACACGTCAGAAGCCTGTTACGCAATGATTCAGAAGAGGATACAGGAAATATTGTTCCTACTGTGACATTGGCTGTTCACCTCTGTCTAGCCCAAACTGGTTTACTTCACCAAGGAATCCACAGAGTTTTCTTCATTTCAATTCCTTTCTGATTTCACAGTTACCATAATGGAAATCTGAAGTAGAAAGGCCTTCGACCAGGTGCAGTGGGCTTACCCCTGAAATCTTAGCACTTTGGGAGGCCAAAGAGGGAGGATCGCTTGAGCTCAGGAGTGTGAGACCAACCTGGGCAACATAAGGAGACCCCTGTCACTACAAAAAATTTTTAAAAAATAGCTGGGCATGGTGGCACACACCTATGGTCCTAGAAGATGAGAGGCTGAGGTGGGAGGATCATGTAGACCCAGGAAGTTGAGGCGACAGTGAGCTGACATCATGCCACTGCACTCTAGCCTGGGTGACAGAGTAAGACCCTGTCTAAAAAAAAAAAAAAAAAAAAAAGGAAAAGAAAGGCAGAAAAGAAAAGGCATGGTGGCTCACACCTATAATCCCAGCAGTTTGGGAGGTCGAGGTGGGCGGATCACTTGAGCCCAGGAGTTTGAGACCAGCCTAGGCAACATGGCAAAATTTTGTTACTACTAAAAAATAAAAAAATAAAAAAAAATTAGCTGGCCATGGTGGCACACACTTGTAGTCCCAGCCACTCAGGAGACTGAGGTGGGAGGATCACCTGAGCCCAGGAGGTCAAGGCCGCCGTGAGCCATGAGTGCACCACTGCACTCCACCCTGGGCCACAGAGCAAGACCCTATCTCAAAAAAGAAATAATTTAAAGAAGAAAAAAAAGTTAAAAACAAACAAACAAACAAAAAAGTATGTCCATATCTTCTTTGTGGGGAAAGTGATTAGGACTTTTGCAGCTTCTGATGGCAAGCCTGTCATGCAGAGCTGCTTGTCTGATTTCCACTACCCATGCTGTTGAACTTCTTTTGTGCAAGTAGCCCAGCTAAGCCCTGTCCTAAGGACAGGCACATTCATGTATTTCCCTGGTGGAGGTGTTGGTGTGCACCACTGCAACCTTTCTCACTCTCCTGGTTCTTCTCAAGAACCACAGCACACAGTTCCTGTCCTAAAATCTTACCATTTGAGGCACCTGGCCCAGGCTAGGGATGCCTACTCTGCATCTGTTTCCAGGAATCACACAGACGCCTTGATCTCAGAGCCCACCCAACTGTATGAACCATTTCCAGGAAGCCTAAAGATCCTGTTTCTTTGTGTCATAACGAGACACTGAGCCAGAACCGCCTGTCCTTACAGACATCTCCACACAGGCTGAGGGCTCTGATCGGAACAGTAATGGGGCAAAGGGGACCTGCACTGGAAATCTGTGTGCAGAATCGTGGCAGAGGATGGTCTCTGTGCACAAAGCCTACCAGAAACCAGAGGGAGGAGAAGGAGAGAGCTGCAGGTTCAGACTTCCCCCTTCAATCATGCGACTCCAAGATCCTCTTACCAGCTGGAGGGGTGCCCAGCCCAGGCTTCTCATTCAAGGACACAGGAGATAAAATGACTGGGTTGGTCTTTAAGCAAATGATTCACTCACCTTTTTATAGTCGGGAGGACACAGGAAAGTTTTAGTCTTTCCATACATTTTGTATTTTATCCTTATACTCTATTGATTCAAATGAGAAAAATGAAAAAGAAAGCACAATATCTGGGAAAATTCTTTAATATTCTCCAGACTCAAATTTATTTTATGTCCATAAACCAAAATCATCTTATCTCAGAACTGCTTTAGCTTTATAATTAATGCATTTTTAAGGTTTCATATTGACTATACCTGTACCATGAGACTTCTTATATCTTACAAAGACGATTGGATAGAGTTAATATCTTTTTCCCTCACTACCTCTTTTTTTCACTCTCCACTTTCTTTTCTTTTTTTCCCACAGATCTTTTCTTTTTTTCTAAAAAGAAGAAAGAAAAAAAGAAAAAAAAGAATTAAAAAAAAAAGAATGAAGGGGAGGAAGAAAGAGAAAGAGGAAGAGGGAGAGAGAACAGGGGTGTTGCTTTATTGCCCGGGGTAGAATGCAGTCTAAAAATGGGTATGCCTATAATTGTGCTTAATAATAGAGACATGAAAAAAAATGAGGGAAGAAAATAACTAACAAGCAGCCAACCAATATTTCATTTAAACCTGTAAACAGATGTGATGTGGTACTGATAAGAGTGTATATTTTGTGTATTTAAAGTGGAGAGTTCTATAAATGTTAATTAAGTTTATTTGTTCCGGATCTGAGTTCAAATCCTAGATATCATTGTTAACTTTCTGTCTCATCGATCTGTCTAATATTGATGTTGAAGTCTCCCACTATTATTGTGTGGGAGTCTAAGTCTCTTTATAAGTCTTATGTATCTGGGTATTCCTGTATTGGGTGAGTATATATTTAGGATCTTTAGCTCTTCTTGTTGCATTGATCCTTTCATCATTATGTAATATCCTTCTTTGCTTCTTTTGATCTTTGTTGCTTTAAAGCAACTCCTGCTTTTTATGTATTTATTTATTTTTGCTCTCCATTTGGTTGGTAAATTTTTCTCCATCCTTTGTTTTGAGTCTTTGTGTATCCTTGCATGTGAGATGGGTC